GGGTTGATGGAATTGTAAATTAGTACAACCACTATGTAATCAGTATGGAAGTTCCTCAAGTGATTAGGAATGGAACCACCATATGACTCAGCTATACCACTCCTGGGTAGTTATCCTAAAATCATCATCATACTATAGCAATACATGCACATCGATGTTTACAGAAGCACAATTCACAATAGCCACACTATGGAACCAGTCTAGGTGTCTGTCAGTGGATAAATGGATAAAGAAAATGTGGTATATACACAATGGAGTTTTACTCAGCCATAAAGAAAAATGAAATCATGTCATTTGCAGGAAAATGGATGAAGCTGGACACTATTAGGTTAAGTGAAATAAACCAAACACAGAAAGTCAAAGGTCATATGTTTTCTTGCATATGTGGAAGCTAAAGAAGAAAAAGGAAAAGAAAGGGGTGTATGTGTGGGGGGGGAAATCACATGAAAATCCAAGGAGGATCAGTAGAGTGGAGGAAAAGGACTGAGAAGAAAAAAGGAAATACCAGGGAATGATAACTGACCAAATTACATTGTGTGCATGTATCAACGTGTAACAACGAGTCCCACGAGTTCCACCATTATGTACAACTATAATGCGCCAATATTCCGTTAGAGCTGCACAAATGGACTAAGAGAATAGGCAAAGAACATGAACAAGCACTTTTCAAAAGAGGGAACATAAGTGACTGATAAACACATAAATATATGTACAGGCTGGCCACAAATTTGTGATCCTCCTGCCTCAACCTCCTGAGTCGCTGGCACCTGGCTTTGCTAGAAGTATTTTCTAGGGGGAGACCCATTTATTATTTGAGAGTTTGCATTAATTTGCTTGCCATTGCTTATTTTTGTTTGTTTAAACTTTTAAACATTTCTCACCTTTCAACTTTTCAGAACTATTAGATTCTAAATGCTTATAGAACCTGTGGAATAAATACACAAAGTCCTGGATCTGAAAATAAGCAATTCTGATGTTTGAAGGGCATCAAACTTGAATTTCATCTTGTCAGTGGTCAGTCTTGTTCTTTGTTCAGGAGGCTGAGACAGGAGGCTCACAAGTTCAAAGCCAACCTTGGCCATTTAGTGTGGCCTTAGTAACTTTGGGAAGCCCTGTCTCAAAAAAAAAAAAAAAAAGGCGGGGGTGGAAAGCTGGGGATGTGGGTTAGTGGTTAAATTGCCCTGGGTTTAATCCCCAGTACAAAAATAAAAATGCATAATGTGTAAGTAAATTAATCCAACATTTTTCTTGTACTTTTAGTGCCACCTCATGGTAGTGCTCTGTTGTCAGAATTTACATTTTTCTAATCTTTTATGCTCCTGAACACATTTTTGACTGTGGTTTCAGTGTTGGTCAGTTAAAGATTATCTGTCACACAGAAGTATGTTTTTCAATTTATCTTCCCAATAGAGTTACCTGATGATCTTTAAAATATACAGACCCTAGGCCCAATTCCAGAGCCACTATCAGAGAGGCATTAACACTGATTGGTTGGACAAAGTCAGATGTCATTTAAAAAATACTCAGTTCTAGGGGCTGGAGTTGTGGCTCAGTGGTACAGCGCTCACCTAGCACATGCGAGGCCCTGGGTTCAATCCTCAGTACCACGTAAAAATAAATAAATAATGATATTGTGTCCAACTAAAAAATAAGTATTTTAAAAAAATACTCAGTTCTGTAACTGAAGAAAGAACCACCTGCCAACCCTGAGGACATGGCTTCATATACTCATGCAATAAATAACTATACATTGGGGGTGTACTGGGAATTGAACCCAGGGATGCTCTACCAGAGATATATCCCCTACCCTTTTTTTAATTTTGAGATAGGTTTTCACTAAGTTGCCCAGTCTGACCTTGAATTTACAATCCTCCTGACTCAGCCTCCTGAGTATTCCTGGGATTCCAGGAGTGCACAAGGGCACCAGGATATTTGTGAGTATTTGTGGCTAAAAATGCAAACACTTTAGAAATCCCTTTAAATATTTATTTCTGATGTAAAATAATTCTGAGTTGGGTGCAGTAATGCATGCCTGAAATTTCAGCAACTCATGAAATTGAGGCAGGAGGATTGCAAGTTCAAGGCCAGCCTGGACAACTTAGGGATGCAGTAAATAATTTAATGAGACCCTGTCTCAAAATAAAAATAAACAAATAAATAATAAAATCATTCTGACAGTTGCTATACTCCTTACTAAAGCTTTATTATTTCTTTATTTTTTTAATTTTAATTTTTTTTTTAGTACCAGAGATTGAAACTGGGATGCTTAACCACTGAGCCACATCCCCAGTTCTTTTTATTTTTTAATTTTTGGGTACTGGGGATTGAACTCGGGGGCACTCAACCACTGAGCCACATCCCCAGCCTTATTTTGTATTTTATTTAGAGACAGGTCTCACTGCGTTAATTGGTGCCTTGCAGTTGCTGAGGCTGGCTTTGAACTTGCAATCTTTCTGCCTCAACTTCCTGAGCCACTGGGATTACAGGTGTGTGCCACCATGTCCAGTCTTTTTTTTTTTTTTTTTTTTTAATTTTGAGACAGGGTCTAAGTTGCTTAGGGACTTGCTAAGCTGCTGAAGCTGGCTTTGAATTTGTGACCCTCCTGCCTTAGCATACTCTCAATGACAATACTGATGTTTTGAACAAGTCAACACATACATGTAAAGCACTTGGAACACTGACACAGTGTTAAAAAAATATTAGTTATAAATATTAGACTACATAAAATACTTAGCCTTGATTCATGTTATTCCCCCACCTATATCCTTATCTTTTTGTTTTGCCAATTATTGAAATTATCTCTTGCTCAAATCTTACTTCCTTTATGAGGTGAGATTTTGCACTAATTTCTCTCTTCTCTGACTTGTGTTGTACTCATGACATTGCCACAGTTAATATTCCCATTCCTGTTTTGTTGGTCGACCCCCTGACCAGCTCTATTAGAAATATTTTATTCTCTTTAAAATATATGAAACAGGGCTGGGGCTTGGTTCAGCGATAGCACACTTGCCTGGCAATGTGTGAGGCACTGGGTTTGATTCTCAGCACCACATATAAATAAAGGTCTATCAACAACTAAAAAATAAAACTAAAAAAATAAAATAAAATATATGAAGCAAACCTGACAGTGTTCACATTCATTAGTTAGTTAGTTTGTTTATTTATTTATGGTGTGGAGGATTTAACCAGGGCCTTGTGCATGCAAGGTAAGCACTCTACCAACTGATCTATATCCCTAGCCCTTACATTAGTTGATTTTGATTAAGATTTTTTTAAATATTTATTTTTTAGTTTTTTAGGTGGACACTGTATCTTTTATTTTTATGTGGTGCTGAGGATGAAACCCAGTGCCTCATACATGCTAGGTGAGCACTCTATCACTGAGCCACAACTTTAGCCCCTTGATTAAGATGTTTAATACACTGTTGAAAGAAAACATAGTCAAGAGTTCAGCTTATTTAAATTTCTACTCTACTCAGAATGTGAAGCTGCCCATTTTGGCAGAACTCATGTGGGTTCATGTCTACATCAACCCAAACTAGTATATCTTTTTACAGGATGACAGACAGACTGGTCTTGAGAACCATATTGAAGTATTTGTCCCAAGGCCTCCACTTGTTGAAATTAAAATGCCAGGAGGGGACAGAGCAGACTTTGGAGATATCACTAAGGGTGAACTCCCAAATGTTTGTTGGTGCCAGCTGTTCTCACTGCTGTAGGCTCTGGGGACACAGTGGAGCTCATAGATTCTAGCAAGGGAGACAGACTGCAAATCAAAAACAAAAGGAATAAGTCAGAGTAGTAAAGTCATAACACATAGAAATCAAATGATGATCAGAGTGACTTGGGGGTGGCTTTTTTTTATATTGGACACACAGGAAAGGCCTCATGTGAGGAAGTGACATCTAAGCTAACCTCTGGTAATAACCCCTAGGCAGTGGGAATAGGTAATCTGAAGGAACTAAAGGTGGAAATAAGCTTCCTTGTTGGGAGGATCAGGTAGGCCGTGCTCGAATGTTGAAATAAGAGGAAAAAGGAGATCCAAGGGGCAGCCAGGGCCTAGCCATGTAAAAATTTGCAAACCCAAGTTATAGAGGTTGTATTTTATTCTAGGTTTGATGGGATGCAATTGGAATTTAAAAAGGTAGTGGTATGATCTGATTTGCATTTTAAAATCAATATAATTGTTTTGTATATAACAAATTATACAGAGGTTGGACTGGAAGCCAGGAAATAATTTAGGCTTGTGGTAGTATTTGTGCAAAAGATGTTAATGATTGGGAGTGGTGATAATGGAGATGGAGAGGAGAGTAGATGCTGGGTATGTAGAGGGTATAGTAAGATGTAGGGCATAGCTAAAGAGCAGTGTGGGGGTCACTGGATGGAAATTACTAAGAGGAAACATCAGGGGGAAGATTCTGATAAACCATCTAAACAAGACTCTTGGTGATAGGCTAGGTGATCCGACATCGCATAGTCATGAGGAACCTGATCAAATGCCAAGGATAATCAGGTATTGAGGATAGAGTGTTCTTGCCAAAATGACTTAGTATCGGTTTTTAGCTAAAACTGGGCCTAGAAGGGCAGATGGGCCTAAAAGGGTTTGACTAAATTTGGCCAAGTAGAAGATTTTTTGTCAGTGCATACACACCAGTATTAGCAATTCAAATTCTAGGAAGAGGGATATCAAACTTTCATAAAGGAACCTTCTAAATGTTAACATACCAATGTAACAATTATAGTTGACCTCTATGTAGGCCTTACCATAAAACCAGAAAATACTGGACTAATTATTTAGATTAACTCAATCCCTCCAACAATCCAATAAGAGTGAGAAGAATATTATCCTGTGTCTTCTTCCCCAGCAAATCATCTTTTGATGAGTGGGAAAGTTAGCCTATGAGAACTGGACTGGCTGAGTAGCCCAGTGCCATTTTCCTGGGAGTTGTGCAACCTGCTCAATGATAGCCAAAAGTTGGCTGAAAAATTATTCCCAGATATTGGAGACAAATGCCTTTTTATATTTATTAAAATTTATCATTAGCAGATAAACATGACAGAGATTCAGCCTCAGCTTCCAAAGCAATTAACAATTTTACATATCTGCCTAAGCAGAAAACAACAGGCAAAACAATGGCATTGTGTGCAATCAGCATTGTTATCAGATCATCTTTCCTGCACTGCTTTTACTCATTTGCTTGTTTATTTTTGAAGAGCCATGGAAGGCGCCCAGGGCTGAGCTACACCCCAGACCATCAGCAATATTTTACCCCTGAATATTTTGCTAAATCCTTACCCAGGTATCTTCATTGAAAATACTCTCAAAACTTAAAAGAATTCACCTTGAAACACTAATTTTCCATGAAAACCCATAGAATCTAGAACAATGAGGACTTTTTCAGAGAGTATGGAATAATTCAGATGAAGAGACTTTCCAAACAACTTTTGTCACTAAGGTTTATTTCAATTTAAGAAATGTGAATTCAGAATTAGTGTAATGTAAATCTCAAAGTTTGTGGCAAAAGAACTGCTATTAAGGGTTTGGGTAAAATCTTGATGGAGCCAGGTGTGGTGTTGCACACCTGTAATCCCTGCTACTTGGGAGGCAGAGGCAAGTTTGATGACAGCATGGGCAACTTAGTGAGACCCTGTCTCAATATTTTTTTTTTAAAGGGCTGGGAATGTAGCTCAGTGCTAAAGCACTTGCCTAGCATGTACAAGGCCCTGTGTCCAATTCCTGAAAAGAAAAAAAAATTTTTTTTGTGGTACTTGTGCATGTATATAGACAGACATTAACAAAATAAGAAGCACATTCTGAAGAGAATCAAATTTGGACAAATTCTGGTTTGTAAAAATAAATTCAGTTCCCCCAGGAGAAGTAATTTGCATTTTCACCATCAGTTAAAAATGAAAAGAGCACATTTTTCTCTTCTAATTGTGACCATCACAGCACTGTACAAAGTGCAGTACAGTTTGTACTAAAGTACAACAAACCCAAATTCTTTTTATCAGAGAATACAGTAAACCATAACAAGACTCTTAGTTAAACAGGGTTTACATATAATGTACTACAAAACATTTTCTTTTGAAAATAAATACTGTATAATCTATTTTCAAGCATCAAACAATTGAAACAAATATATACTGGAACAAAATTTCCAAACAGTTTAAAAATTTATATACATACAAAGCCATACATATAACATCAAATAACATCTAGTTTTATATATGTAAACTAAACATTCACTAAAAATGATTTCTGTATGTGTAAACTAAGTAACACTTGAACATTTAAAAAGAAATTGATGTTCTGTTACACATTATCAAAGTCTATCCTCTGAATAATTTGAAGACATTTCTACTAAAAGGCAAATACAGACTAAAAATAGAAACAGTGCATCTCAAAGTTTTTCAGAGACTTACATATCAGTAATTTTCAAACATATAATTTATTGTGTGCTATGGTTTGAAACAAATTTTCCCTGAGCACTTTCTGTCTGGTTAGAAAAATTAAAACATGATTTATAAAACAGAATTTTATTTTAATTTTTCTTGAAGTATGCAATTTCTTGCCATCTGATATATTTGGGAAGTTTTTAGACATCTGTAAGGTATCCAGCAATCATAACTGTTTTAAAAGGGCTACTTGAATGGCTACAGAAATATAGATGGGTCTTGAAGCCCTGAGAACTGTACAATGAGTGTCTCACACAACTGAAGTAATTTGTTATCCTAAAACTATCAATATTTTAACAAATTCAGAATGGCACTAGTTCACAGAGAAAAAAAGTAATCATTAGTGATTCCAGCTTAGATGATCAAAGGATAAGCATGGAAAACTGAAAGCCAAAGTTGCATTAGCATTCTATTTTCTATGGAATAATGCTGAAAAAGAAACTAACCAACACAGTATTTAAATACCTACCTCACCTTAAAACTTTATTAATGCAGTTTTGAGATCTGTTGCTCCTTAATATTCATGCAGATTTAAAATCAGCATCACTGGAAATTTCATCATATAAACTGCAGTTCTCAATGCTATACCCAAGATTTACAGCCCAAAAGACATACTACGATCAGTGCACATGCACAGTAACACTACCAGTTGTGTTCCCTTAATATTTTAGCCACTTGACCATTTAGGCCTCTTCTCTTCAAATAAATAATAACAAATATTAGGAATCTTAACTATGCAAAATTTGTAAATTGTTTTCTACATAGCCTAGAATTATACTAAAAGAAAATTGGAAGTTTCATATTTACAATTAGATTTTCATAAAACCTAACTATATATGTCTCTTAGCATTGTGATTTATGTGTCTTGCAAGAACAATTAATAAACAGAACATTGAGAAGTTATCATTCTGAAGATCTTCAAGAAGCAAGCAATTTCGGATGTCCAGGAAGTTATCTTCTGTCTTTTTATATTTTAAGGTGCTTTATACAGGACGCCCTGGACCAAAACGACTTTTAGACCTAGATTTTTTTAAACAGAAAAGAAGGTCAGAGTTGCTTCTAGAATAACAGGAAGTTGCTGCTGCTTTAAGATTGTTTGCTTGATAATATTCAAAGTTTAATGAAATTTCATATAGCTCCACAATTAATTTTGTAAACCCCTTGGAGTAAGATATATTTTGGAATTCATATTAAGAAATCAGATGGTATGCATAATGTATAGGAGCAGGGTCCTGTACACATTGTTTCTTCAGTGAAACAAATGAACATTTATATTAAGTGAGAAAAGTGAAGACTACAAATATCAGAGCAGATTAGTTCAAGTTTGTTTTTTTATTTTCTCCCAGTACTGGAGACTGAACCCAGGGATAGAGAAGCACTTTGTCACAGAGCTATAATCCCCAATCCCTTTTTAAGCAATTTTGAGATAGGATTTTTAGTAAATTGTTTAGGCAATCTTTGATCCTGTGATCCCAAGTAGATGGGATTACAGGCATGGACCACTGCATCTGGCCTCAGTTAAAGGTTGAATTGCACAAATGTACAAACTGACTCACCCACCAAAAAACCTTTGACTTTCTGAGCTTTCTCTATTTCAAAATTATAGATAAGGAATTAGAATGTGTAATATATTAATATTCAAATCTCAATCTTTAAAAGAAAATTTGTGATATAAGATGACATAAGATTTATAAGTTATATTTTATTAAAAACAAAATAATAAAATAAGAAATGGGAAAGACTTCATGGATTTATATGAAGCAATAATATATAATCTACAAAGACTACAAAAATTTTGCTAATTCACAGTTGCATTGTAGCTTTCATTTTTATCAGCATTGGTTTATGAAGCCAGCCCAATAAGTGAAAAACTAAAACAAAAACAAAATAAAACCTTATGCTTTCATTAAATTTTGTGTTCATGAACTTTTCTCAATTTGGGGGTTAAAATCTGGTTCTGATTGATGGTTAATCCTTGAAGCAAAACATAAAACCAAACACAAATGATGTGCTTCTAGTGTTTTTGGCTTAAAAAAAAATCACTTCAAAATCATGACCTTCTGAATTAGTTTCTGCTAATTTACCTTGTGTTTTTCTCTGAGCTGTTTTGCCGTGCACTGACTGGTATGGAGGCTTTGATTTGTGCTTCGAGCCTGGAATAAATACCTCCTGCGAACTACAAAATAAAGAAGCAAAATTAAGTTATTTTCAAGGAATAAACAGAAGTTCTGTTTTACTAAAATAGCATATTCTTAAATTAATAAATTATGGTATTTTTAGTCTTTAAAATTCAGACTTTTTGAGGGGTATAATTTACATACAGTAAAATTCACCCTTTTAGCCTACAGTTTGGGGTTTTGACAAATGCAGATAGTTTTGTAACTACTATCATAATGAAGATACAGGATAATTCTATTACCCCCCCCCCCCAAAATCCTGTGTCCCTTTTAAATTATCCATCTACCACTATAAATTCCTGGCAACCACTCATCTGTTTTCTGTTTCTACAGCTTTGTATTTTCCAGAACATTTGTGTGTGTGTGTGTGTGTGTGTGTGTGTGTGTGTGTGTATCATATAGTACATACAGCCCGTTTCTCTCACTTAGCATATAATGTACAGGGGATTTATACACTTTGTTGTATACATTTGGAGTTTGTTATCTTTTGTATGTATGTATGTATAGTATATCCATTTGTTAAATGTAAAACTTTTGATGCTAGGAATTCTCTGAATAAAGGGGCTTATTGAGGCATTACAGAAATTAAAACAGAACAAAGAAAGGACCAGGTTCTGGGACAACTTATCTAGCTACTAGCAAGATTAGATAGCAGTTGAGCTTATTCAACCTGGAGACTGGGAGTATTCTTACAATGAAAATTGGAAAATTAAGGCAATAAGTTGCTTACATCAAATTTACATTAGATACTGATAAAAGTGGCAGGGTATGATGAAGCAGGGGAAACTTCGGGGTGGGAGGACAGTCTACCACAGAGAAGTATTTGATATTTGAGGATTGGTTGAGGTTCATAGTTGAGAAAATTGTTTTATGAGCTGATTGCATCTGACATTTAGTAAACTGGGGTGTAAGTCAAACTTTAAACATATATTCCTATATTACTTCCTCTCTTTTCTTTTTCCTATTCATCTTTTGGCTTTTTTTTTTTTTTTTTTTTTTGGCAGCACCCAGAGCCTCAAGCATGCTAGACAGGCACTATACTTCTGAGCTACATCCTCAGCCCTTTTTACCTTTTTATTTTGTTTTGAGATAGGGTCTCAAAAAGTTGCCCAGGCTGGCCTTGATCTTGTGATCTTACTGCCTCAGCCTCTAGAGCGGCTAGAATTATGGTCATGCACCACTCTACTGGCTTCCAGCCCTTCTTAATTTACCATATCTTGTAATTTTATTCTTGTCACATTTACCAGGAAAAGGACATCATTTGGGAGTATTACTAATTTTTGGTATTTATTAGTAAAACCACTATAATTGTATAAACTAATTTATATGGGAGTGCTTAGAAATTGCTACACTATTTTCCAAATGGCCAATTTTTTCATTCCTACTAGCTCTTATATGAGAGTTAGTTGCTTTACATACTCATTAGCACTTGGTACTTTTAAAAAATTTCAGACACTTTTAGTTAGTGTATAGTGGTATGGCATTGAGGTTTTAATTTGTATTTCCCTAATGACTAATTATGTTGCATCTTTTCATGTGTTTATTTGCCATCTGACTCCCTTCTTTCAAAGTGTTTGATTAATCCTCTGCCTATTTATTTTAATTGAGTTATTACTGAGTTTGGAGAGTTCTTTACAAATAACTGTTTTGTATCTATTTTCTATTAGTACACACAGCTTTTCTTTTCATTCTCTTAATAGTGTTATTGAAAAATAACTTTAAATTGGAATGAATATGATTTGTCAATTTTTTCTTTTATGTTAGTGAAAGAAGAATGCAATCAACAAGAATTTATAAATGTATCTTTTGTAATTGGTGTTGTAGCTAAGAAATATTTGTCTATCCTGTGGTTACAGATATTTTCTCCTATATGTATTTTATTTTATTTTTGATGCTGGGGATAAACCCAGGGCCTCATGCATGCTAAGCACATATTTTACCAGAGAGCTATACCCTTAGCAGGAAAGTAAAATTTAAATAAAAGGATTAGGGCAAGAGTTATAGTACATACAAAACATAAATACTTATGATAATACATGATACTGTGACTCATATGTAATTCTAGTTAGAATGCAGGCATTTCTAGTCATCTTTTTCAGCAAGATCTCATCTTATTTTAGAGATAACATGTAAATGACACACACAAAGTTGATAAAAATTAGCACATTCAGAAAAGCTGCCCTCTGGATAGTTAGCATTTGGTTAATAAGGACAGTTATTCTACTTTTGGTGTGACATCACACTTCAGTGACACTATAGTTCATAATGTATAATATAAAGGACCCCTGGACCACAGATAATAGAAAACTTTATGTGAATTGTGGCTAAATGGTACAGAACACAAAATTGTCTAAATTGTTCTTTTAAAATTCTTCTTAAAACATCTTTATACTCTTTATGTAAAAATAAAATTATGAAGGAATATTCTATATAAGTATAATATAATAGTGAACAGTTCTTACTTCTTTTGTTTCCTTTGACTTGACTCGGTCCAGATCACCCAATCTCATTTTTATTAGATGCCCTGTAATTTCAGACATCCGCCGCTGATCTGAAGGTAAAAAATGATAAGTATTATTTCTCATGAGGATGACTTATAATTTTTATTTCTTAAAGAAGATTGTAATCAACAAGGGTTTACAAATGTATCTTTTGCTATTATTTTTCAGATGCATACTTCTATGAAGAATTTAAGGCAAGTGGAAAAATGACTTGTATTTTGATAATTGTGCTGATTTTTAGGTTACTATAAACCTATGATTTGGATATGATTTGAGTATGTCCCCCAAAGGTTTATGTGCTAGAAGCCTGGTGTCCAGCGTAGTGATTTTTATTTTTTTAAATTGGGGATTGGAATCAGGGGCACTCTACCACTGATTATACCCCCAACACTTTATTTTCATTTTTATTTTAAAACCCGGTCTTGCTAAGTTGCTGAGGCTTGCCTCAAACTTGTGATTATCCTGTCTCAGCCTCCCAAGTTGCTGAGATGACAGGTGTGTGTCACCATGCTTGGCCTTCAGTGTGGTGATTCTCAGAGGCGGTGGAACCTTTCAGAGGTGGTAGCACCTTTAACAGATGGGGCCTAGTGAAATGTAGTCAGGTCACTGGGAACACCATCTTTGGAAGAGTTTAATGTAGTCCTTGTGTGACTCTGCTTAATTCCTACAAGAGCAAATTATTATGAAAAGAATAAGCCTGACCCCCAAATCTCTCTTTCTTCCTGCTTTGCTATGTAATCTCTCTCTCTTGCATATGCTCCCATCACGATGCCATCTGCCATGTGGTGATGTAGCCAGAAGGCCTTCATCAGACCAAATATTTTGTTGTAACAACAGAAAATAGACTAAGACATAGCCTAAAACATATTCAGTCATTTTTTTTACAGAAAAAGTAGGGGGCAAAAGTCAGTCTAAAAGGTCTCAAAATTATAGACACATAAAACAATACATTATTCACTGAATTATCTAGTAATGAAATCCTGGTTGGTGACTAAGATAATGTGCAAATTTTGGGACTTATACCATATAAACCTTTGAAGCTATTCAGCATACTTCATAAAATAAAAGATGTTCTTATCCACATAATAAATTTTACCATCTTCTCTTTGTGCATCTTGGTTGAATCTCAAGGACCTTGTGGCATCCCATTTATTCTTCTGCATACTTACACTATTGAAAAAAAATTTTAAAAATTAGCATTGATGCTTCTTTAAGAGTAAATATTTTAATTAGATTAAAGAATAATACTCACATGAAAGGAGACACATCTCTAGAAGCTGACTAAAAAATTAGACAACATTAAGCTCCAATTAGAACATATTTACAAATTAGTTTTATAGCTAATTATAAAAACAGTTTACATTTATTGAGCCAAAAGCATTCAATAAATACCAAGTACATTTACAGCACTAAGAACATTTACTAGTGTATTTCATTTAAACCTTGCAACAACCATGTGCAGCAGGCAATATTTTATGATCTTCATAATAAAATAGGCTCAGAGAAGTTAAGAAAGTTCTCCAAAGAGATATAGATCTAGAATTTGAATCTACTTTGTCAGTTATGAACATTTAAATTGGGTTTGAATTAATCTAATTTGTGAGCTTGTGCTACCTAACACAAAGATGAATGTACAACCTGTCCAATCTCAGCCCCAGCCTTTCACATATTTTTGGAACTCATAATTTCTGTTTTTAGTCAACTGCAGCTATTACTGTCCTTAGTCCTATGTTTTTTTTACTCCTTTCTTTAATGGCACAGGGAAATAAAAATCATTTGAAAGGCCATAAAATATAATTTGTTTTTAATTAATTAATTAATTTTGGGTACCAGGGATTAAACTCAGGGATACTTGGACACTGAGCCATATCCCCAGCCCTATTTTGTATGCTATTTAGAGACAGGGGTCCCACTGAGTTACTTAGAACCTCGTTTTTGTTGAGGCTGGCTTTAGACTTCGGATCCTCCTGCCTCAGCCTCCTGAGCTGCTGGGATTACAGGCATGTATCACTGTGCCCAGCTTATTTTCAATTTTAAAAGTCTACTTCCCTCTTATTTTTTGAATAAGTGATACTGGTTTAAAATTCAAAAGGTTCAAATAGCAAATATAATAGAAAGCCTCTTACATTTTTAAAAAATATTTTTTAGTTGTCAATGGACCTTTATTTTTATACACAGTGCTAAGGATTGAACCCTGTGCCTCACACATGCCAGGCAAGTGTTCTACCACAGAGCAGCAAACCTAGCCCTGAAAGCCTCTTACCTTTATCCTCTCCACATTCAGTTCCTTTCCTTAGGGTCAAACAATCTTATCAATTTCTTATGTAGCTTTCTAGAGATAGTTTATGTATATATAAGGAAATTCATATATATTTCCCCATCTCCTTTACACTGTGAACATTGTTCTGCATCTTCTTTTTTTTTCATTGGTCAATATATCTTAAAGATCTTTAATCTCAATCTATAAAGAACATCATTCATTTTTACATTACTAGCATTCCATGAGAAACTCATTACTCTTCTATATTTTATTTTTCCTGAATATACTTGCTTATTTCTTCATATGAACTTTAGAATAAAAAAATGATCAGTTACCTTCTCCAATGCCTTTTCTTTCTTTTGTGCACAGGGTGAAGACATCTGCTTTTTTGGTGGTTTAGTGAACTTCTTTGGTTTCTCCTTTTTCCCTGATTATGGAAGGTCAATGTTATGAGTATAAGTCTCAGACCTCTCCAATTTACTTGCTACTTTTTAAAAAATACCTTTATTTTGTTTATTCAGTTATTCAGTGCCTCACACATGCTAGGCAAGTGCTCTACCACTGAGCTATACAACCCCAGCCCTTTACTTGCTACTTTTAAACAATGAAATCATTTTTTAAAAACCCTAAAAAGCTAAAAATTACCTTTGGACAAAACCCCCAAATACAGAGAAATTAAACTGAAACTGATTTACATGAGTTCATTTTAATTACATTTTCCTTCTATTTGGTGAAACTTTTTTTGGGAAAAAAGTGAGAACAATGAATATGAAGTCCCACATATAAAATAGGAAAAATGGAGAAATTACATATTTATTTTCTGAATTTGACAATGGAATCATTTTCTAATTCCAAAATTTTTACTTAAAATTACTATAATGTAGAAAAATACAATTTGAGAATAGGGTGAGTAGTCATATACATACAAAATCTTTTTTTTTTTTTTAGTTGTAGATGGACACGATACTTTTATTTTATTTATTTATATGTGGTGCTGAGGATTAAACCCAGGGCCTCACACATGCTAGGCGAGTGCTCTACCACTGAGCCACAACCTCAGCTCCCACATACAAAATGTTTAAAATGGTTTTTGCTCAGGAAGGAGGTAGGACAGTAATGATCTTGGGAAGATGCTGAGTTTAGATAAATTATATTCTGGACTAAGTCATTCTTGGAGTCAATATTCTGAATCTATCCTGGCTGACTATGAAGTGGACAAAGGAGGGAAAAAATACAAGGAGGGGGAAGAAGCATTCCATAAAAACAATATATGAAGGTAAGGACTATACTGAATAACTGTTTCCCAAATGGAATTATTTGTTTGCCTTCTCCAGAAGTCTTGCTATATTGTTTAAGAAGGAAACTATCAAAATGATAAGTGGAAAACCCATGCTACATAGACAATAACCTTGAAAATGCTGTAACAAAAAATTAATAATCTAGATAGATTTACTTGCCTGCTGACATGCCCTGACCCCCTAACACCTCTCTCTGTTAAACTGGGTAACAAGTTTTATAAAGTTGCTAAAAAATATGATAGGGTAGGACATATGGTAATGACAATATGAAGGGGCTGAACAATTCCTTACTAATAAAACAGCCATAAAAACAGAACAAAAAATTATAAACAACCATCTGAAGGTAATAGTAAATAGTCAAAGTTAGGCTGAAAATTGAGCATTTACACTATAAAAATTCATGAAGTAAAACTGAGTTTATGGCCTTCTTGCCTGAATGTACTTCCTGGCTCAGGGAGGGAAACTGCAGCCTTATGAGGCCAGGCAGAGGATGACAAGTGTTCAAAGTAATAGAGAAGCTACAATTGTAAAGAAGAAATTTTGGAAGCAAGAAAGTCACACAAGACCTAAAATCTAAAATGTGAGTACAAAATGTCCATATTCTTAGTCAAGTATTAAACTTGGAAACTGTATGAGAGATTCTAGGAAGCCCAGGTAAAAGGCAGGTAGAAACTATGTTGGACCATCCACTCTGCAAAACAGAACTGCTCTTAGTGAGATATGGGAGTTTTTTTGTGCTTTTGAATGGATTCTTTCCCCAAACTGCACATATCTCAAGCTTCTGACAGCAAGACATATTACTGGCTTGATGTATCAGAGTATAGACTTGGATCTGGAAAAACTACTAAAAATTCAGGTGGCATTTGTAAACCACGGGATCCACTAAGTAGGTGAGCCCCAATATCTGAATGTAATCTGTATCTATATCCTTGGCTGACTCCTAAGCTACACAGGATGGTGTGACTGGGGATGAGGATGAGGTAGGCTAAAGCAATAGCCTACCTGTGCAGTTAGCAGTTAAAACACCTGTGCAGAGACAATCATCTACTGCATATCATAGGTGAGACAATCTGCAATTTGAATCAGGTAAATTAACCACCTACTAGAACAACAACAACAACAACAAAAATCAACAATTCTCAGAAGAACAAACCAGATTTCAGAGTTGCATAAGGAAAATCTTCATTTTTCAACCAAAAGTTTCAAAATAGAAATTCTGACCCGGGGGCTGGGATGTGGCTCAAGCGGTAGCGCGCTCGCCTAGCATGCGTGCGGCCCGGGTTCGATCCTCAGCAGCACCACATACCAACAAAGATGTTGTGTCCGCCGAGAATTAAGAAAAAATAAATAAATGTTAAAATTCTCTCTCTCTCT